GGCCAGACAAATGAAGGAAGAGGAGGCTAAATTCCGAAAGTGGAAAACGAAAGCCGATCATGAGATGATGCAAATGAAAAGTCGGGTATGTCTGTCGTATATCGTTCATTTTTCAAATGGTTTCGTCAAACCGTTGAATCGGTTCTATTTGGGAATATCAAAAGAATTTTGCTTATGTATTCATTTATTAATTCATCAAAGATATCGACAACGAAATGATATGAAAGCGAATCTGATCTATTCGTGCGTTATGAATTCGAAATTAGAGGTTGTCGGAAAGAAATATTTTTGTATTTCAGGAGCGGAAACGTGAATTCGAAACAGCTCGTGCTCAACGAATGTCCGCTCAACAGCTCGCTGTTTACCGACGTAAATACGAAGAGGCAATCGCCTGCAATCGTCGCCTTCAGCAACAACTCGTCAAAAGTTCATCTTCGAAACGCAATGATAAAAAAATGAGCAGCGAATTGATTGTGAGTTAAAGTGTTTCATCTAATATTGCCTACGTTTTTAATCTAATATTCCCGTTCGTTTGTGTTAAATTAGGATTGAAGCGACAAATTATGATTCATTAAATGAACACATTTCTAGTCAATTTGATGAATTTCACAGAAAGATTAATTGCTGATGAGACTTTCTTATCAAAACTGACATGCTAATTTAGGGAGGGCATTATCAGATGGATTGACTATTTTAGAACTATTTGGATAACGAACTTCGTATGGCCATCTGGACAGCAGAGGCACGTTGGCATTGTGATGTGCTCATCGAGCAACGAAAAACGCTCTCGGAACAACTCAAAAAGAAGAAGGAACATCTCAGTCGTCTCAATAAGGAACCACCAAAAAAGGTGTTCTCTTTGCATCAACTCTAATGAGGATGCATCGCGTGTGCTTATCGAGACGAAAATTAGACGTTTCACAAAAAATAATCGTTTCAAAAAAGTTATCGTTGAGCGAAGAAATGATGAGTGAATTCAATGTGTATTAACGTACAACTAACGCGTTTTCAGAAGCATGTCGGCAGCGATCGCACAGGCTCTGATAACAATTCTGAATTGCGTCAACTCGAGCGCGAAATTGCGGGTCTGCAGCAGGAGGTTTGTGTTCTGCATGAATAAATATGGATCATTCGGAATATATTACAAAACGCATTTCACTTGTTTTCTTGAATCATTACCGGTAAAAGTGAAAGTGACATTGTCATGATTTCGACTTGTTTACAATCAGTCGTACTATTCATTGCGATGTTTGAAATGTTAATTTATGGTTTATTGATGTTTTTAATTTTAACTGATATTGATCGGTATCACAACAGACGAAACAACTAGGGAATGCAAATATTAAGACTTCTGCAAAAAGATTAAGTGATTGTTTTGATCGCGTTATTAAACTAATTGTTACAGATTTCCTCTTACAATATCGAAATCCATGATGCGCAAGCGGATTGCATGAAAGCAGACGAACGTGAAGATCAGCGTTGGTTAGGCATTGATTCAACAGTGAATATCAAAAGCGTTCTCAAGCATCTTTTTGAGGCGGTTGGTTTTGACCTTTTTTTCAGTTGACTTGCATTTATTATTCGTTTTGAAGTTAATTAATCAGTTTTGACCTTTTTCAGTTGATTTTTCAGTTGACGCAAGTTAATCAGTTTTAAATTAAGTGAGATCGAATTGACGACTTTTTTCGACTTACTTTTTCCGAAGAATTCCATCAATTCGTTAGAGTGCGTCAAGTTTTGTATGATTTTTTGATGAGAATTAAGCTCTCTGTTTCACAATATTGATTTGTTGTGTTCAGCTTTCAACACGTTTTGATNTTGTGTTCAGCTTTCAACACGTTTTGATGCGATGGCACCGAAACTATTAATATTGTGACAGAAATTTTTGCAATACATATCTGTAATTCAAGGCAGTCAATCAACGAAAAATGGCACTCGAAAAGGAGCAAGAAATGGACGATGCGAAGCGATTGCTCCAAGAGGAAAACAAAGTGAAGGAGGAACAAATAAAAGAATTGAAATCAAATTTAAAACACGAACAGAACACCATCAAAACAATTCAGGAACGTTTAACACGAAGAGAATTGGATTTCGATGAGACGGTTCGTTCCTTCATAATATGAAAATCGTGAAATACTCTCAACTGAGCCTTCATCTGAACCTCGCTTGTTTTCACAACTGAATGAAATGATTGTTGTTTGATTCATTTAGACAATGAATATAATCAATATGTATGATGCGGATGAGAATACGGTGAATGTTGACGTGCTGAAACGTTTGGAACGAGTTATGAATAGTATGAATCGAATTAGCGAACTCCAAGAAAGTGTCACTGCTAAAGAAGAACAAATAAAGGTAATGAATGCAACCGTTTCGCGTTTGTTGTTCAGTTATAATTTTTTGATGTTTACTCGACGATCAATTGCAAAATNTATTCATTTATTTATTCATTTTTACGGAATTGACGAATAAAGAAAAAAAAAGCAATGACAATTGTTATTTGTTGTTGTAACCAAAGAACATATTTATTTGAAATTGGTAAGAGAATAATAATACCAATAAAAGGAGGAACACGTGGATGAGGACGACAGCGATATGGATATTTCGGTATCATTTACTGACGATTCGAGCGATGTTACCTATGTTCCACCCGGACCTTCGAGGCGTACAAGTAAGAGACCAACAAAAAGGTTCGCTTTTACTGCTTTCTGATTAATTGAATTTCTTACATTCCTTACAAATTCCTTACATCCCAGTAGTTGTTTCATATGCGACGATTCAAAATATGAACATACGGTGGTGTTCACTCGTTGACCAATACGATGCGTAATGTTTCATATGAATGGATTCTTTGGATATTTCGCTATACTTCCAATAAACAGTTGATTTTTTTTTGCGTCATTTCAGATCAATTGAAGAGTTAGGGACAGATGGTATGAACGCCACATTTGTTATCGATTCGAATGTACCGGGCGAGTCGAAGGCGAATAATTGTCCAGAGAGAGATAATGATGGTGCGAACCATAAGGAGAATATAGAACTAGTGGTTAGATGCTTTCTTTGTTGTCATTACGAATGTTCTTCAATACCAATAATATCTATTCGTTGAGTATTCCTACATTTCAGAAAATTAGTGTCACTATGTACATGATATTTGGTATTATCCGTAGAATAAGGAAAATTCCGTTCCTGATCTGTCCAATCCAAGTATATTTTAAGTTGCAGGAACCAATAACTTCGTCCAGCAAGAATGCTCCACGAAAGTCCACTGAAGACTGTGGAATTCCGCAGACAGTTCTAACAACCAATCCTGCAAAACTGAAAGCAAGGAAGAAGAGACGACCGGGGAAAGCGCTTTCGAAGGAACCTGATGACTTGGCTAAAACGGTCCATGAAATATTTGCCAAATTAACCTGAATCAAATCAAAGCATTTGTTTGTAAATATTTATATTCGTAGTATAACTGAAGAGAGAGCAGTCTTCTTGCTATCGTTCTGGCTTTTCCCACCAACGGGTCTTCGCAACAGTTTACGTTCTACAGTGATCAAGTTTGAATTTTGGCCAGGTTCTCTGGCTTCACCATTTCTCTGTGTCTGATTTCAGTGTCTGCGACAATTTTCTCTGAATTGGGACTAATCCACTTAAGCATTGATCTGTAGCCTTCTATGACCGAACTATAATACTGACATAACCATTCGTCATTACAAAATACATTTCAGCAGTTGAAATTGAAGAAGACAAATTGTCGATGCTACAAATGTTGAAATAAAGTATTGTGGTTGTTTTTTTCCCATGTTTGGAGCAGTGATGATCTGTTTTTTGAATTCGAGATTATGCTTTTGAATGAATTCATACTGTTTGGAAAGGTTTCCATTTTCTTATAATTTGTTGAAGATCGGCGAAAATTTCGCTTCTAACTGAAATTTGATGATTTTATCGGTTGAAATGAACGATAGCTGTTCGATATTCTTCATCGTTTTCCAATATGAAATTGTGCCTCAATTTGCCCATAAAAAATTTCACGTTTTAATTACAATTAGTAACTTCTTTAACTGTACTATGACCTGTACATTGTACTTCTGCGTCCACATGAATTTGAAGGAATTCATTTTGAGAATATACTTTGAACGGTTACTTGTAATGTGTGAACTGATAATTCATATATTCATGAGGATGTGTACTTGTATTGCGTGCATTTATAATGATGTCTTTCACGGTAACCGAACTGTTGGTTGCCTTTTTGTGGAATGTCATCGCTGTTTGGGTCAGATACTTATTTACTTGGTCGCAGTTCGGAGTGCGTTTCTTTTTTTAATTGCTTGTGAACATTATTTTGCATTTGTACTTATTCTTATAAATGATTTCGCATTTATCTTTTATATGCTTTCGATCGCAACCAATTTCGAGAACAGGGAATTGTGCCGTAAAACGTTTGCTTCTGACGTGTTTTGTTATATCTGTCAAAATTTTGCATTTGCATCTGTTATGTTATTACATGATTACGATTAATTCAACATGGTATATATAAGAGTATTATAAGTTATAACGAAGCATCAACAGTTCAGCTGATCGATGCACTTGACGAGACATGTCGAGATGGAAAAGAATTGAAGCTCACTGTGAACAATATAACTTCCAGAGAAATCTAAACGAGTCGTTAGTCAATCCTATCAATAAATGATACAATGTACACTGGTTGAAATTATGTTAGAATTTTTGCGAGTGAGACAAAGTAGTGCATAAGTTAGGTTGAAAGTAATGAATGTTTTCGGGAGTGGTCAAAGCGGAGACACGGGCTTGAGCGCAGGCAAGCCGTGTCTTCGGCTTAGCCTTAACCATCCCTGCAATCCTCGTCTTTGCGATCAATGGACGGATTTGTTAAGTCCCATTTTGACGTTTATGAATCAAATTCATAAAAGCGATAATTGTCAGTCGAATACGTTTTATTAACAGTTCACAACTGCTGATTTCATCCTGGCCTGCATTCCTTGCGGCATACATCTTCAAACTGCAATATGGTGTGTTACTGTGCGTTACTCAGTTCTTCTTCTAATTCTGTCGTTTAAATTTCGAAGTTTTTAAAGTGGACAACGAAATGCTTAAATCAGAATACAACCAACCGTCTGCATTCATTTATTTACCCTCTCTGCCATTTCTATAACAATTCTTCATTGTTGGGTTATGGCGCTGTGTCAAAATCAATCAGTTAAATGCAGCTGAGTCGGCCGGCTAGAGAAAAGTTGAGTGCGAAGAAAGTGCCGAAAGATGCATAGAAATAAATTCTGAATTAGAGAATGTGACCGTGAGGAATGGTTGAGCATCAATAGAGAAAGAGAATGAATTATAGAGGAGGGGTGAGAGATGGTGAAATCGCCAAAATAATTATTGCACTATAAGAAGGCAAGTGAAAGGAATGCTAGGCTATGGTTGCCGTTATTTCGCCAGCTGCTTGCAACGCTTATTCTGTATTCTTTTAAAATTTGTTCATGATTTGATGTAATATGCAAACAGCCTATTATATCGATTCCACTATATACCGACCGCATAAGTATAGATTCGTTTGTGTTTTGCGCCGATCATGTGCATATTATAAATGTGGCAATAGCGCCCGTTGAGAAGAAGAGTCCTTGTCAAAAATGATTAGTGTACAACAACAATTGTGAGGTGCTTGTTTAAGGAAATATAAGCAAAAGCTATTGTACGGTAGATTCTTTAGCATAAAAATGGTAGGAAAGTGTTCGTTTTGTGCCACGTGTACGTGCTTTGATTTGTTGTTGTTTTTTTGTGAATTGCAGAATGAATCAGTTTTTTAAAAATTTTTAAATAGTGTACAGAACGCAGCGCTAGTAACGTTTAGCGCACACAATGAAATTTCCATGTTTGAAATCTTCTCAGAGAACACGATAATTTTTCATCGTTTCGCCACGCAACATTCTGGCGCTCCTCTGTGATTTATCGGTATATTATTTTAAAGATTTCATCTTGGGATTTGGATCAATCAGTGGTATTTTGTTGTTTCATTTCATTGCAATGATTTGTTGATGATTTCGAACTTTACTCGTTGTTTATCGATCACTGAATCTAAATTCATATTGTTCTGCAGAAGCGTACGTTAAATACCCCATACATGCAGTTGGATTATTTCAGGTTTTTGAATATTAATTTCATTGCTGAACTGTTTATAAACTGAATGGAATTAAATGAATTATTTTGATTGTTGCTGACAATGAGATAACCTGTAATAAGATTAATTGATAATGAATTATTGCTAGAAGCCGAAAGAGAGATTAGATCGATTTTGAAATACCAGTCATCGGAGTGGAAAATTATGCATGTGAATTTATTTCATGCTGACAAGAATTACTGAAGCTGTTCGTTTATTGACTCATTTATCTTATCTTCACAAATCAGTCAGATCTGTCCTCATTTCCTTATCTGCATAATTCGTTTTATGAACAAACTCTGTGGACCTTTTGTTTAGGGCAGTGTTTTTTATAGGAGGATGCATTACCCTCTTGAGGTGATTTGGAGTGTCAGCGGGTAACTTGTGAGGATATAAATGAACTTGATGATAATTTTCAGTCTTCTTGTCGCTGACGATTGGGTTGAAATTTAGTAGTTCATCCATTCCCTCCAACTTTTCATCTGTTTTCCCTTTGGAAAAAACCATCATTCAGTATTGAACATCCTCAATGTTTTCCTTTCAAATCTGATCGAACTTAATTGTTTCATTCGAATTGCTACAGGTTTTGATTTTCGTGTTTAAAAAAAAAGTCACCGAATCATCACGTATTCTATGTTCGTTTCATTTTCTTTTCAAAATTCTCGTTGCTCGATGATTCGGTGAGCTCGCGAATGAATTTGTTTACTTTGGGAATTGTAGATGGATGATCACCGTTTGCAAATTGTTGCAATATCAGTTTGAGTTTATAATCTTTGAATTTCCTTTTTATTTGCGTGTTCGAATTAATTGGTGGTCATGTTAAAAGTTTAAAAAAAGAACAGTTTAATGTGCGCTAAATTAAANACATGAAATTGTTTGGTTTTGCGCGAAAGTTGGCAATTCTTAATGTTGAGAAGGAAATAATGGCATGATGGTGCATGAACAAATATTTGTGTTGTAATGAGTGTAAGCATAGTTATGGTAACAATACGATCTTCAAGTGTTTAGAGAGGCGAAGTTTAGAATTTTTTGAAATTCCCATGTATAATGATTCATATAGTTCACATTTAGTTATTTCAGAATGCTAATGCAAGCACTCAGCTTGTATAGGCTGCATAAGGCTAGGCTGCATAATTCTTTTTTTTTTGTTTTCTTTTCTTCGTACGAAAGTCTGAATAGGGCATTTACACGGTTGAGGAGTTATCGTATTTTAGTCATTGGAGCGAACCAATGAATTCACGGATTAAGTTAAAGAAATATTTTTTATGCACTGTTGCTGGTCGTTGAGGAGTGTCTTTTTGTCAAATTAGACAGTATATTAGGTGAATTATTGAATAGTGTGACGCGTATCGAGTGATATGCCGTGGAGCGCATAAAATTGATCACTCCAAATGTGTCAGTTTGAATAGGCAGTATCCGTCAGATGTTTAGTGATGGTGAAACATTTAGAGCATTTTCTTAAGAGCGTTTTGGAAACGAATGCATAAATCCATGTTGATGATGATAGTATATGGAGTGAACGTTTAGTTGCTTTGATAAATTCATCACAGTTCTGCAATTATGGTTTTTTTTTTCTGCTAAAGAAAGAGAAAGAAAGGGAATTGGGTCCGCTTAAAAAAATGAGTCATAAATTGTCAAACAGCTGTCTCGAGATTCATTTGAGGCTAGTCGTAGGGAACAGTTCTCTTCTGTTCAGCTGCGCAATTTGCAATGGCCATTTTGAGATACATGGAGAAGTTGATCTAATTTGCAGTGATATCACCATAATAAGATGCGTATAAATAATAATTTTGGATAGTCGCATTATTCTAAAATGTGTTAGGTGATTATTGTTCACAGCTAAAGTACGTTCACAATTTTGCAGCGAGCTCATTCATCTTCTAAACGCTTTTCGTTACATTCGCTAATTTGGCAGTTGCACGTTTGAAAATTTCTCAATGCTCGATAGAGTTCATTTGGTAAAAAAATACTACACGAAGCTTATTTTTCCGTGCCATGTGAAATTGCATTCAGATATGTCATTAATCGTTTTATGAAGCATCAATGCAGTTCTTCTGTTGAGTGAGAATGGATTCGTTGTGGTTTCATTCGTTTCTTTAAGCAGATTAATAATCATACCTTTTACTAATCAGATAATTTACGTTCTCAGGAAAAATGTCCTCAAACTCTCGTGCTGCATCAATTTCATCGGGTTTTGTTGGTGGTGATCCAACGCCGATGATTGCTGGTACTGAAGAGAAGAGTGGCTGGTTACAGAAATGGACGAATTACCTGAAGGGATATCGTCAGCGGTGGTTTGTGCTCGATGCACATGCGAATCTTAGCTATTATAGGTTGGCAGTCCTCTACATTCTTTGAAGATGCGTGCTGAATGAAACTGAAAACAGAGCTTAAACTTCGAAG